GGGGGGGGGCTGGCTCCAAAGGGCATTTGCTGAAACAGTCCCCAGCATGGGGTCAGCCTCCCCAGGGCAAGGGCTGAGGTGCAGAGCTATCCCCAGTCTACACCTGCGTGCTCTCCCTGTGGTTCCAAGTCACTAGAAGCTTGGAGACTCTGACCTAGGGTCACTGTGCAGCGTCTTAAATCATGACAGGTGATGAACGCTGTGTTAATGGACTAACCCCTTGTCCCTGCAGGCAGGTGGGGAAGACAGGGCTCCGGCTCTCACAGGACAGGCTCTGGGTACAGCCGCTCGGGACAAGGTCAGCTGTGGAGAGACCAGGGGCCAGGTAAGCCCCGCACCAGCCTGGGCCCTCACGTGCCACCCAGCCCTCTCATAGCCCTCTCTACTTAGTGGTTTGCTGAAGCTGCCTTCCTGTTCTGGAAATAGCTTATGTACTTGCAAGTAAGTGGCAGATAAGCATAGTGCTATGTCCATTCATCACGTTTAGTGAGAGAGAGACGCCGAAGTCTACGTTTGATGCTGCTCTGTCTCCACCCGGTGCTGTGTTCATCTCTGTCAGTTCATTCATCTGTTGCGACCCAGCCACGGGCTCTGCAAAGGTTACGGGTAGAAGGTCTGTCCTCCTCTGGAGGCAGAGCAGGGAAGCAGGGCAGTGGCACCCACTACAGTCACCCCTGATGAAGTGTGGCCTGGATTTCCTGGGTAAGGGGCTGACATGGTAGAAGTGGGCCCTTCACTGCTCTGTTCTTAATTTTTGCTGCGTTTTGTCGACCTTCACTCTAAAATAGTCCATGGAGAAAACTGTCATTTCAGTATTTCCCAGAGTCAGGTGGTGAAATTCTTTGTGTTTAAAAAAACAAACAAACTGAAAATGCCTCCTGAGGAAAATTCTGTTACTGCCCAAGGGTCAGGTTTCTGAGCCAAGACCTGGCCTGAAGGAATGTGTGAGCCTGGCCTGGGGGGTGGGGGGGTGAGGGGAGGCGTGAGAGCCCACATCAAAGCCTAGCCCTGCCCACCCTCAGAACAAAGGGCACCTGGGAGGCCCCCAGGTCCTGCTGAGAGCGAGGTGTGAAATTCCTCATGCCATCGCTTCTCTGCCTGTGATGTCCCTGACTGTCACCCACCATCTCTGATCGTCTGTGATGACCGAGGTGGGGACAGGGATGTCAGGGATGTCAATCCTTGCGTAATGTAATCTAGGAACATGGTTTCAGCTGTTGCTCCTGTCACCCAGCCTTCTGCAAGGGCCCCAGAACCTCCCACCCCTGGGCCAGCAGTGGAGCATAGCAGAGAAGCTGCACCTCCGCCAGGTCTTGGGGTGCACACCCCAAGGAGTCCAGAGCCAGGGAAAGGGCAGGAACATGTTATTTTTTAAATGCAAGAGAACTGTCACCTTTTTACTGTGACGGAGTGGTTCTCTTCTTAGTCCCTGTCTGCAGAAAGGCAGGAAGTGGCAGCCACACGTGGCTGTGAGGGAAGCTCTAGGCTGAGCCATGAGAAGAGCCACACTCTTCTGTCCTTGGCACCCGTCCACTGGGCGCCATCTGCATGTGGATTTCCATTTCCAAAAGTCATTAGCAGCAGTGAACGTCTAGATATCATGCAGATGGTGGGAACTGGTGTCAAGAGGGATAGTTTTGACACTGTTTTCTTCCACTAACAGCACCACCTCTTAATTAATTGCTTCCACTTTAATGGAATAATTTTAGAATAAATCTTTGTGACAGGTGGCCACAACTGAAAAAAGAATAAAATTCGGTCTCCAAATACACTCAGCGTGTTATTTCATACGCGCTGAGAAGGCAGTGATGTTAGGCCTGCTCTCAGCTCGGTCTCATGTCTGTTCCGTGCAGGAAGCAGGCAGCATGAGCACGACCCGTGGAGGAGGTACTAGTCGTCTCAAGGAAGTCCATCACCCACATCGCCGGGGTACAAGTGGCACGACCATCTGTCTACAACACACGCCGCTCTCATTTGAGCGCCAACTCTGAACAGAGCCCAGGTAGCACTTGGAGACCGGGTTCTGAGTCACTTGGTTTCAAGATAGGTTTGCTTCCTGCAGAAAAAGTGGGAAGGAAGAACCCCAGCCTCTCACGAGCATCCTGGCAGCACCGTTCTTCAGAGCAGAGTCCAGAACAGCATGGCCTGGTCTTATCAGCTACAGGGGAAGACCTACAGGGCCAGGCCTTCCTGAAAACACACAGCAGAAAATGCCTTTCAGTGGGACCGCTTTTACATTTTGGAAAATAACTTCGTTGGCTTATTTCCAGATACTGAGCCTGACTCCAGGGCTCAGAACGGTCACTATTAACATCTCTATTTCATCCCAGTCTTTCATTCATGGATGTGCACATCATTTATTTCTTCCATTTGACACATTGGAACTATATCCTCACCTGCTTTTTTTTTTTAACTTAACACAATAGACTGCGAAGATGTATTCTCACATTATTTAAAAATTCCCCAAAACATGGTGGCTGATAGTTTATGTGGTATTTCAGAAATTGTTTTCTAGTTAGAAATTCTAATCAAAAGTGAAATTTCCACCTATTTCTTCTCTTGTCCCTTAGAAGTGTTTGAACGAATTTCTCGCCTTCCTGGTAGGAAAGTTCATTCTGCTTAGAGACATCTGTCTAGGCAGCATGGCGCAGCATGGACCTGCTCGGCCATGCTTCAGCTTGGTTTTCATAGTACTGTGTGTGTAGACAGCCTGCACTCTGGGGACTCAGAGGGAGCCTGTGCTGAGCGCATCTAAGAAGGCAGTAGTTGGACTCCCAGCAAGCTGCAAGTGCATGGGACCTCTGTTGCACTCTGTCTGTAATTTTTCACATAACCCAAAATTGACATTTTAAGCCCCAGGTTATACTGGCCCTACCTGTGAGGAGAAGGCTCAGGGGTTGGTAATGAGAAGATAGCATCGAACCTTGACCTCACCCCTGCCTCCACTAGCAAGTGAGAGCTAGCGGGCTGCCACGTCAAGACCCTCAGGTTCCAGGTCTGTCAGGAATTACCTACCAGGAGGCTCAGCTTCTAGTCATTGCTTTCTTTTAAAAACAAAGTAATCCCTAGGGGTCTCACATACCACGTGTGTGTCTGCACTTGGTGAGTCACAAGCGCAACTCCAGGCACCATCCACGTAAAAGCCCTGCTAGGACTTACCACAGAGGAGTGCAGTCTCTCCAGGTCATTGGTATGCGTTTGTGCTAGGTCTGAAGTGCCCTTGCCACTCCTTTCAGCTTCATCTTTGGCTATCTAATCGTATTCCCTTCAAGTCTTATAGGACCTACAGCTTCATTTCTTAGCTTTGGAAACAGATTATTTTTGGTTCCACTTGTGTTTCCTATCTAAATATTAACTTCTTATTTTTTCATATATGCTAATTTCTGCTAGAAGTTCTGATTCTTTGTTGCCTATTTGTATAACTTTGAAATAAGTCTCTTATCCCTTAGACTAAGAGGATAGACTTAAGTGGAAATTGTTTTTTTCCTTCACAGAGGCTGAATTCTAGTTTGTCAATAAAATATTGGGTGAACCATTGAATTGATATAATCTTTAATACATTTGAAAAACTAGTACAGTGATTTTTTTTTTTTTTTTGGGGGGGATAGTCTTTGCAGTGCCTTATAAATTATCTCTGTAACTGGTGTCAAGAGGGATAGTTTTGACACTGTTTTCTTCCACTAACAGCACCACCTCTTAATTAATTGCTTCCACTTTAATGGAATAATTTTAGAATAAATCTTTGTGACAGGTGGCCACAACTGAAAAAAGAATAAAATTCGGTCTCCAAATACACTCAGCGTGTTATTTCATACGCGCTGAGAAGGCAGTGATGTTAGGCCTGCTCTCAGCTCGGTCTCATGTCTGTTCCGTGCAGGAAGCAGGCAGCATGAGCACGACCCGTGGAGGAGGTACTAGTCGTCTCAAGGAAGTCCATCACCCACATCGCCGGGGTACAAGTGGCACGACCATCTGTCTACAACACACGCCGCTCTCATTTGAGCGCCAACTCTGAACAGAGCCCAGGTAGCACTTGGAGACCGGGTTCTGAGTCACTTGGTTTCAAGATAGGTTTGCTTCCTGCAGAAAAAGTGGGAAGGAAGAACCCCAGCCTCTCACGAGCATCCTGGCAGCACCGTTCTTCAGAGCAGAGTCCAGAACAGCATGGCCTGGTCTTATCAGCTACAGGGGAAGACCTACAGGGCCAGGCCTTCCTGAAAACACACAGCAGAAAATGCCTTTCAGTGGGACCGCTTTTACATTTTGGAAAATAACTTCGTTGGCTTATTTCCAGATACTGAGCCTGACTCCAGGGCTCAGAACGGTCACTATTAACATCTCTATTTCATCCCAGTCTTTCATTCATGGATGTGCACATCATTTATTTCTTCCATTTGACACATTGGAACTATATCCTCACCTGCTTTTTTTTTTTAACTTAACACAATAGACTGCGAAGATGTATTCTCACATTATTTAAAAATTCCCCAAAACATGGTGGCTGATAGTTTATGTGGTATTTCAGAAATTGTTTTCTAGTTAGAAATTCTAATCAAAAGTGAAATTTCCACCTATTTCTTCTCTTGTCCCTTAGAAGTGTTTGAACGAATTTCTCGCCTTCCTGGTAGGAAAGTTCATTCTGCTTAGAGACATCTGTCTAGGCAGCATGGCGCAGCATGGACCTGCTCGGCCATGCTTCAGCTTGGTTTTCATAGTACTGTGTGTGTAGACAGCCTGCACTCTGGGGACTCAGAGGGAGCCTGTGCTGAGCGCATCTAAGAAGGCAGTAGTTGGACTCCCAGCAAGCTGCAAGTGCATGGGACCTCTGTTGCACTCTGTCTGTAATTTTTCACATAACCCAAAATTGACATTTTAAGCCCCAGGTTATACTGGCCCTACCTGTGAGGAGAAGGCTCAGGGGTTGGTAATGAGAAGATAGCATCGAACCTTGACCTCACCCCTGCCTCCACTAGCAAGTGAGAGCTAGCGGGCTGCCACGTCAAGACCCTCAGGTTCCAGGTCTGTCAGGAATTACCTACCAGGAGGCTCAGCTTCTAGTCATTGCTTTCTTTTAAAAACAAAGTAATCCCTAGGGGTCTCACATACCACGTGTGTGTCTGCACTTGGTGAGTCACAAGCGCAACTCCAGGCACCATCCACGTAAAAGCCCTGCTAGGACTTACCACAGAGGAGTGCAGTCTCTCCAGGTCATTGGTATGCGTTTGTGCTAGGTCTGAAGTGCCCTTGCCACTCCTTTCAGCTTCATCTTTGGCTATCTAATCGTATTCCCTTCAAGTCTTATAGGACCTACAGCTTCATTTCTTAGCTTTGGAAACAGATTATTTTTGGTTCCACTTGTGTTTCCTATCTAAATATTAACTTCTTATTTTTTCATATATGCTAATTTCTGCTAGAAGTTCTGATTCTTTGTTGCCTATTTGTATAACTTTGAAATAAGTCTCTTATCCCTTAGACTAAGAGGATAGACTTAAGTGGAAATTGTTTTTTTCCTTCACAGAGGCTGAATTCTAGTTTGTCAATAAAATATTGGGTGAACCATTGAATTGATATAATCTTTAATACATTTGAAAAACTAGTACAGTGATTTTTTTTTTTTTTTTGGGGGGGATAGTCTTTGCAGTGCCTTATAAATTATCTCTGTATTCTGTCTTTTGATGAAATTTCCACATATTGGGCCAGCCCTGCAGCCTGGTGGTTAAGGGAGCTGTATCCTACATAGCCAACCATGGTTTGAATACCAGCCCTGGTAACTTGAGAAACACATCAGGTGTGTGTGTGTGTGTGTGTGTGTGTGTGTGCGCGCACGCACGCACTGTGTACCCAAAATCTCTACAGAACAGAGAAATGGAGAAAGGAATGCGGTGTGACCACACTCCATTGGAGAATTTAGGGAGGTGTTTCTCCCCTTCTCTCTACTGACTGTTTTTTTATGCACCCTCTTGTGGGAGGCTGCACCAGCGAGTCTGCCGAGGTTTCTCAGGGAGCAAACAATTGCCATGATTGGTTCCCTTCCAAAAACCTGACCTTCGAAACCTTGCTCTGATTGGCCACTAGAATCCCTCAAATTTGCATATCTAGCACCTCATGATTGGTCCAAAATCAACCAATCACAGCCCACTGTTTACAACCAATCACGGCTCACTGTTTACAACCCACCAGAGTGTATATAACCACGATGCCTGGCCCACAGTAGCCAGACGACGACGACGACCAGGAAGACGACAACTGAAGAGCCTGAAGAGCTGAAACACCGCGCAGTCTCCAGACGACCCTGAAGATCCTGAAGAGCTGACACTGCATCGTCTCCAGACGACCTGGGAGACCCTGAAGAGCTGTAACACTACATCGTCTCCGGACGACCCTGAAGAGCTGTGATACCGCGTCGTCTCCATGCTGCTCACAGTAGATGACGCGACCCTTAAGAGTTGTGACACTGCGTCGTCTCTGTGCTGTACCGTGCTGCCCACAATAAATGGATGACACTGTCGTCTCCGTGCTGTAACACTACGCTGCTTGCCCCGGCTCTCACTCCTTCACTCAGGAAACCTGTTCGGCTCTCCCCCCGGGTCGGGACACCCTCTGGCATTAAAATTTTTTTTTTCTTATAGTCAGAAAATTAAGTATCCTGTATCAAGTACTGGAAATTTTTCTTTTACCCAGCATTCTGTTAGCCAGAACTCTGACCGATCTTGTTGAGTATGAGAGTGGAACTACCCATATATGCACGTGAGCACATGCCTTTCCAACTTGGTGGTACTAACTCACCCCACCTCTTACTTTATTAAGAGCTCCTGTTTAGTTTTTACCTCTCTGTGGTCAGCGTTGGTATTTCATTAATTTAGTTTCCATTTCTTTGACTATTAGCAAGGGATTTTTTTCTCATGTAGTTATTGGCCATTCATATTTCTTTGTGAATAACTTAGGAGGGACCAAGGTGACTGAAATTATACTCTAACCTCATTTCCTAGACCCCCGAAAAACTCAGACAAGAAGCCATTTTAAATCTGAGATGTGTCCTGGTGTGTTCAAGGACCAAGGCAACTAAAGTTAAGCACTAAACTTCATCTCCTAGACCCCAGAAACACTAAGTCAAGAGGAAAGATTTTGTCACAGAATGATCAGAAACCACCACAGAGGCACAAGAAATATGAGAAACGAAGAAAATATCTCTCCCCTAAGTGAAAAGAATAATCCTTCCTTATCCACAGACAGTACAGTGGAACTTGTGGAAATGTCTGATAGAGAATTGAGAATATTCATAGCGATAAAACTAAATAAGATATAAGAGCTGAGAGACAATCAACTCCTGAAGATGCAGGAGAAAAGAGATGAGTTCCAGGAGGTGAGGAAGTTCTTGCATGAAATTCTTTCCTCTGAAAGAGGAAATACATACCATAAAAAAGAATCAAATGGAGCTGTTAGAAATGAAGGCTGCAATCAAAACCTCTCTCTAAAAGTATTGAAAGCAGGTTAGTCCATGCAGAAGATCAAATCCCGGATGTTGAAGGCAAAACTTCTGACCTAAAAAAAAAAAAAAAAAACTGAGAAAATAACCAGAAAAAATGAGAATACTATATATGAGAAATACTAGATACCATTAAGCACCCAAACATCTGGGTAATTGGTATCCCAAAAGGTGAAAAAATTAATAAGGGCATTGATAATCTATTCCATGAAATCCTGGAAGAAAACTTTCAAAATCTAGAGAGGCATTCAAATATCCAGACCCAAGAAATACAAAGGACCCCTAATAGAATTAGCCCAAGAAGATCTTCTCTAAGGCACATCCCAGCCAGATAGGACAAATCCACAAAGACAAGATACTAAAATTGGCAAGAGAAATGTCAGGTTTCTTACAAAGGACATTCCATCAGGCTAACAGCAGATCTCTCATCAGAAACAAGGAAAGAATGCGAGCAAGGAAAGAATGGGAAAATATATTCAAAGTGTTAAGTGAAAAACAGTTTCAGCCAAGAATACTATACCTGGCAAGGTTATCCTTCATCTGTGAAGAAAGATAAAAATATTCTCAGATAAACAAAACCTGAAAGAATTTACCAACACCAGTCCAGCTCTTCAGGGAGTTCTGAAAGTAGAGCTTTACCAGGAAAACTAAAAACACACATACAGAAATAAGAGAACAAAAAGAAACCAGGAAAATTACCAACTTAATGCTAGGGACAAGAAATATCAATAATAATGTTGAACGTTAACTTCTAAGATGTTTTTGTTAATTATTTAATTTATTTATCATTTATTTTAATTTGACCAAAAAGATCAGACCACTGTAACACCGCAAATTCAACAGAAGAAGGATTAATTATGTAAGACTGAACTGGTAAAATAGAATTTTATGACTTTTGAGTAAAACATTATTGTCTTCTTTTTTACTATGCTTTGTTTCCCAATATAAGGATTTTGCTTTCCTTTGAGCTGTTGCTAGGTTTAGCAATTTGTTAAAAATGTTTTTTATTCTTTGTTTCTTTAAATGGAAGCATAAACTTTTCTCCATTACTGAC